CCCCTCTCTCTAAAATCAGTAAGCCAAAAAAAAAAGCAAAAATGAATGAATGAATGAATAAATAAATAAATAAAATCAATAAGCATATCTTCTGGTGAGGATTTAAAAACATAATAAAACAAAATCAATAAAAACATACCCTCAGGTGAGAATAAACAAAAGTTTGATCTAGCATAGCCAGAAATACATTATACAATAGGAAGTCAATAAATATGATAGTAATAAATATAGATTTATAGAAACATTATCAGGATTTCCCAATTTGAATAATTTTTCTCAAAACAGACATAAAGAATATAGGTAATGTAAAGGAAAAAAATGGTCTGAGATAATAACTAAGTAAATTTGATCAGAGAGCTATTACTGCCCCCTAGTGACAGAATATTACAATACACTTTGAAAACTTAGATCATAAAGTTGGAAATAAGAATGCTTATAAATTTGTGTTGCTTCCAAAATTTCTAATTGGTCCTTTTTACTCATTTATCCATTCATTATTTCACTTAATATACAATAAGGGATAAAACAGGAATGATTTTATCCTTCATCGCAGTCTCTTGGGAGAAAGATGCACACATAAAGAAATATATAACTAATAGATGGTGATAAATGCTATGAAAGAATGAACAGGATGCTGTAATAGAGAAAAATGGGTTCAGGCTAATAAGAGAAACCCTACTTGGAATTCGACAGTGGGACAAAGCTTCACTAAGGAAAAAACATAAAGTAAGACTAGCCCTAGTCAGTTTGCTCAATGGTTAGAGCATTGGCCTGCAGACTAAAGGGTTCTGGGTTCGATTCTGTCAAGGCCATGTATCTTGGTTGCAGGTTCCATCCCCAGCCCCAGTCGGGGTGCGTGTGGGAGGCAACCAATCGGTGTGTGTCTCTCACATGGATGTTTCTCTCTCTGTGTCTCTACCCTCTCTTCCACTCTCTCTATAAAATCAATAGAAAAAATATCCTTAGGTGAGGATTAACAAAAAAATAATAACAATAAAATAAGTAGAGACTAGACAGATACAGGATTTTCAGGATGCGGATTGGGGAAGTGCCCCAAGCAGGAAAAATTGTGAAGTGTATACAAAGTCTCAAAGATAATGGGTGAGTTCGGCTCTTGAGAAAAGGCCAGCATGGCCAAAGTGAGAAACAGAATGAGTATAAACGGGGTGGAGGGATTGCAGATGGGGCCAAACAATGCAGAACCTTTTAGGCTAGGGCAGTGGTCGGCAAACTGCGGCTCGCGAGCCACATGTGGCTCTTTGGCCCCTTGAGTGTGGCCACGAAGTTTCAATCGCACTGTTCGTGCGCACCCGCACGTGGTATTTTGTGGAAGAGCCACACTCAAGGGGCTGCAGTTTGCTGACCACTGGGCTAGGGTAAGGAGTGTGCATTTTATCCTAAGTGAAATGGGAACTTATTCATCGTTTTTAATCAGGGGACATGTCTGTCGTGTATTATGATAGATTACCCCAATTGCGGGGCTCAGAGCAGAAGCAGATCAGCAGTTACAGGTATACGGTGACTGGGCAGCCCCAAGTAGTGACTGCAGGGATGAGAGAATAGGACACACTTTAAATAGGAAACATGCACCCTAGCTGGTTTGGCTCGGTGGACAGAGCATCGCCCTGCAGACTGAAAGGTCCCAGGTTCGATTCCAGTCATGGGCACATGTCCGGGTTGCGGGCTCAATCCCCAGCGGGGGGCGTGCAGGAGGCAGCCGATCAGTGATTCTCTTTCATCGTTGATGTTTCTATCTCTCTCTCCCTTCTTCTCTGAAATCAATAAAAATATATTTTTTAAAAAGTTTCCTGCTTCTAAATAAGTAAATAGGAAACATGCTTTGGAGGCACAACTGACAGGAGCTGCTGTGGGACTGGAGGTAGGTGATGGGGGAGAAGGAAGAATAAAAGACGCTGGTTTCAGGTTTCAGCAGCGGAGAGATGCTCATTACTGACAGAAAAGACTTGCGGAAGGGCAGGTTTCAGTTGGGGGAATCAAGACCTGTTTAAATATTGACTTTAAAATATCTGTGCAACTTCCAAGAAGACACGTAAGGGAGGACGTTGGATCTGTAGTCCAAGGCTCAGAGGGGATGTCCGAGCCAACAATGTAAATTTAACTTCATGGCATCTAGATGGGATTTAAGGTCACAGAGGATGAGATCACTCAGGGAGAAGCTGTAAACAGACTTTGTACTTGGTCAGCCTCCTTTGACATGGTGATCCTCTGTGAGTATGACTTATGGCAAGGGCAATACCTAAAGGGTCTCCTGTATTTGGCTTTAGGAATTAATGAAATAGCTGCCCCCATGTTGTTACAATAACCTCTTCTTTATAAGAATAGCATTTCAGGCTTCTTGATCTCTTCTTTTCAGCTTTATTCAAGAAAATGATTTAGGCTTAAATCTTATCTTTTGTGAACCTAGATTAGCTTATCTCAAGTTTATAGTTACGTGACAAAATTCTGGACTTGTTAGGATCCTTGATCTTTAAAGCCTCTCTGCTAAGTCTGCTTAAGGGAATGCAGAATCCTCATCAAACTGCTAAAGACTGTGTAGGCCAAGTTAAAATGCCACAAATCCTACCATCCTTACACAGTGGGCATTGTGCTAAGCACTCTACTTCCAATATCCCATGAGGTTAGAACTATCAGAATCCTATTTTACAGAAGAGGAAACTGAGACTTAAAGATATTAAGGTGGCTTGCTCCAGGGCTCATGGCTTGTAAAGGAAAGTGTTAGTTTATGAACCATAGTCTATAATGAAAAGTGAACCTGTGTTATTAATAATAGCTATGTAATTCATAATAGCTAGGTTTTATCTTAAGTACTTGCTTTTTTACAGCTACTGTAGTCCTGAGGATTATGAACCATAACCTACCTGATTCCAGTCTATTCTCCATTGCTATGCTATGTACTACTTTTCATTTGTGAAAAAATAATTCAGAGAAACTAAGTTTAGTTAAAAGTGTAGCTAAATATGAACTCATACAATGGAAATCAATTATAAATAAATTTTATAGAACTCATGCTATACATAAATTATCACTGAGGTCTTTATATACATAACTCATTCTTACCCATGGTATGTATCTGAATCATGTAGAGCATTTAAAAACATATCTGCAAGGCCTGGCTGGGGTGGCTCAGTGGTTGAGCATCGACCTATGAACCAGGAGATCACAGTTTGATTCCTGGTCAGGGCACAGGCCTGTGTTATGGGCTCAGTCCCCAGTAGGGAGCATGCAAGAGGCAGTTGATCAATGATTCTCTCTGATCACTGATGTTTCTATCTCTCTCTCCCTCTCCCTTCCTCTCTGAAATCAATAAAAATATATTTTAAAAAAATACACACCGGAAAAACTCTCCTCTCTTCCTGCACCATCCAGGGTGGAACACAAATGATGTCTGCACTTTTCAAAGTTCTGTAGATTCTAACTCCAACCCAGACAAGAACCACTTCATTAGACTAAAAACTCCTTAAAACTGGTACTATATCAACTATTATATCACCTAATTTCTAAAATAGTTCATGCAGAAAAGATGCTTCTTAGAGAAAAAGGCATAAAGAATTAGAGCCCTGACCGGTTTGGCTCAGTGGATAGAGCGTTGGCCTGCGGACTCAAGGGTCCCAGGTTCAATTCCGGTCAAGGGCATGTACCTTGGTTGCGGGCACATCCCCAGTAGGGAGCGTGCAGGAGGCAGCTGATCGATGTTTCTCTCTCATAGATGTTTCTAGCTCTCTATCCCTCTCACTTCCTCTCTGTAAAAAAATCAATAAAATATATATTAAAAAAAAAAGAATTAGAGACTTCGGTTTGAATCTTAGCCCTCTCACTTGTACGACCCAGAAAATGTTAACTTCTCTGAACCTTAGTTTCTTCATCTATAAAGTAAAAGTTTTTTTAAAAATCTACCCCTTAGAGTTGTTACAATCATAGATAACATATAGTATGCGCTCAACTGGTAGTTGTTCTAATTAATCCTGAAACTGACTAAACAAATATCAGATTTAAAAATGCAGCATAAATACTCAGTGCCACCTCTGGAAAGTACACTATGTGAAGTCACCTGAGTGAGGACAGTCTTCCAAGAGCTCACAACCCAGTCGGGGACAGGGGCATTCTCTCTAACAAGGAAGCCGTGGTGAGCATTCACAGGGAGGTGGATTTCACGGATCATGGGGAAATGAGGAAAAGAGAAATAACTCTGATGTAGAAATGGTTCTCAAAAGTGCGATGTGAACTGTGCCCTGACAGAAGCATAGTCAGATATGCTCATTGGACCTTATTTCAGGCCAATGGTTCACAAACTTAAACATGCATCAAAGTGACATGGAGGGCTTGTGAAAACACACAGGGCCCTACCCCAGACTTTCTGACTCAGAAGACCTAGAGCGGGGCCCGAGAATCTGCATTTCCCACGTGACCTGATGCCAATAACCAAGGGAACCCTCTTCGAGAACCATCACTAGAGTGCTTGAGCAGAACTGACGAGTGCTAGCAGCTTTCCCTGGCAGCATCTGAGGTGTGGCTTGTGTGAGTGCTTAAGAACTATGGTCAGAAGTCTATGCTCTAGAAATAAAAACCCTTTCTCCATAAAAACACTTTGTCCCCTGATAAGAGGTAGATAAATTTCCCTTCCTGGAAAGGTAAGCTAACTTTCCAGACTAAGTTAAAACTATTTAATTACCTCTTGTAATATGACATTTATTATCTCTAACCTGTTATTTTTCAACTCCACTAGCTATTTCCTGGATTTGCATAACACAGGTAAACAATAAGGTAATGAGGTGACAGATTTTGAGGTACAAAGCTAATCAAATGCAAAAAGAATAGAAATACAGTGTTACTTATTCTTTCAAAATGAGAACATAACACAAACACATCCTGAATTTTAATATTTTACTCTGTATGGCATAAGTTAAAATTTTTCAAAAGAACAGTGTTGAAAACTATTCAATAGTTTCACTTATAAACTTTAAGGACTCTTCCATACTCACCAAAACCATCAATATCTAGATTATTTTCAATCACAACATCTAGCAGAGAGTCACCAATTTTTCCTTTGGTTGTTAGTATTTCACCGTCACGGTTTAAAAAGTGGACTGTTATTTTATCTTCTGAGCTGAAAAAGGAAGCAGTTCTTTATTAATTATTTTCAAAAAATACTTTAAAATAACTGTTTTAAGAACTGGTAAGGTCAAATTAAAAAAAACAAATTAAAAAAAACCTGTAAGGTCAAAGAAACAGTGGTGTGTGTGTGTGTGTGTGTGTGTATGCACATGCAAGCAAATGTGCTCTTTTACAGAATTTTCTTTTCTTTCCAAAGTTCATTTGGGAAGAAAATACCATAAATACCAAAAGGCATATCTATCTGCCCAGCTACCAGGAGAGCTCTACTGCCTGAAAGGAAATGAAAACTAGGCCATGTACTTCCCTATGCATTGTGTCTCCCGAGTGGTCATGGTTATGAGTCACAGTCATGTCAAAACATCTAGCAATCATTATCATGAAAGTCTATTTTGCTCTCACACAGCTCTCTGAAAAACAATCTCTATGAACGTGCCCCTAAAGACTAGACCACTGTTGTGGTGAGCTTTGGGAAAGCAGAGCACCCTGCCGTCAATGGGCAATTATGCATGTGTCTGGCAGGTACTGTGCTTAAAGGCAGCAGTCTGATAGTTTCCTGAGTATTTGAACATCTTACTCTGGTCTACATTGTGTGCTCAAAAATCAAAGGGACTAGAAAATATTGTTTGTTTGAATCTGTGGGAAGATAAATATACCCTCTTAAGTGCTTTATTATAGGACATTATATTATCTATCAGCCAGCTAACTTAAAAATTGTTTCCCTTCTCACAAACATCAAAACAAAATTTGGGAAAAGAAATTATATAAGTAACTAGATGCTTATCCTCCACCATTGGTCATTATAATTTTTACCTCACAATTGAAAAGATGTACTTCAGCTTAAAATAATTAATTGCAATTTTCACTACTGCCAGCAGATGGTAATAGTCCATATGAAAGAAAACTTGAATATAAGTAAAACCTAGAATTAAATAATTCCAGAGTTATAAATATCTCCCAATTTATCAAATCCTCACAAATGAGACAACTGAAGTCCCTATCAGATAATGGCCTCCCTAATATTCCAACACTGAAAAAAGAGGATTCCATTAATTAAAGATTATATAAAATACTAGAGGCCTGGCCTGTGCCCTCTCGCAATCCGGGACCCCTCGGGGGATGTAGGGGAGCCAGTTTTGGCCCAATCCCTAAAGGCCAGGCTAAGGTACCCCACCGGTGCACGGGCCTCTAGTATGCATATAAGATCTTTGGTTAATCTCTTCCCGCCCTCCCCTCTCCCTCCTTCCCTCTGAGATTCATCGCTCTGTTCCATGTTTCCATGCCTGTGGTTTCCGCTCCTGCGTTAAGCATCTGCCCCCTGGTGGCCAGTGCATGTCACAGCTACCGGCCGGTTAGCCGGTTGCTTAGGCTTTTATATATATAGACTAGAGGCCCAGCGCGCACGAAATCGTGCGCAGCTAGGGTCCCTAGGCCTAGCTTGGCCTCTGTCACATGGCCTCTGCCACCCTGCGATGCTACATGAAGCTCCCTGCCCCAGGACGCTCCGCGAGCCCTGCAACTGCTCCGCAAGGCTCCCCCGCCCCTCAACTGCTCCGTGAAACTTGCTGCCACCCTGCGAAGCTCACTGCTGGACGCTCCACGAAACTCTCCTCTCCCCCCACCCCGCAACTGCTCCAGAAACTCCCCTGCCCTGCGACTGCTTCGCAAAACTTGCTGCTGCCCAAGTGACTGCTCCGCTAAGCTCACGGCCACCCCACAAAGCAGCCCGCCACCGCCACTCAACAGTCCCCAGTCCCACCCTGCCGCCAGCCCCCCGTCATGGTGAGCGGCTCGGGGGTTGGAGGAGAGGGGGGACTGAGAGGTGCTCCATCACTTCATGGTGACCAGTTGCCCGTTCGGTCATGAAGGCACCTACCTCTTTATATATATTAGGATATGTGAAAGTCTCTCAAAAGGGCTTGTGTACTCCAACTTTTTTTTTCATAGCAAAAAAAAAAACTGCTTTAAAATTAAGTATTCTTAATATTATTCTTTTTTTTTTTTTTAAATATATTTTATTGATTTTTTACAGAGAGGAAGGGAGAGAGATAGAGAGTTAGAAACATCGATGAGAGAGAAACATCGATCAGCTGCCTCCTGCACACCTCCTACTGGGGATGTGCCCGCAACCCAGGTACATGCCCTTGACCGGAATCGAACCCGGGACCCTTCAGTCCGCAGGCCGACGCTCTATCCACTGAGCCAAACCGGTTTTGGCATATTATTATTCTTGATTTTCCAAGTAAATGGCTAAGAATGAAGATACTCTGGAGGCAGGGAGACTACTTTGTAAGTTATTAAAAGAGCACAAACTAAGCAAGGATATAGGAGACATTGTCTTAGATATTCAGGGGGTAGAATTAAAAGGTTCTGGTAGCCATCAATATAAGATGGACTGAGAGAGAGGGGAAAGAAATAATGTTGAAGTTTCCAGCTCAGGCAATTAGGTAGGGTTAACAGATGGGGAGATGGAGCTTTGGGCAAGATGGAAATGAGTTTGAGTTTAGACCTGTTCAATTTAATAATAGAAAAAAGTAGATGAGAATGTCGAGAAGCCAGATGGATCTGAGCCCAGCAGAGCAGTCTAGCGATCTGACATCCACAAATGCCTCGTAAAAGTACGACAGACAGAATTCCATCATTTGTACTCACTACCGCAGGCCAAAGGTTTTAGGGCTGCTATCCTTCTAGAGCAGTGGTCGGCAAACTGCAGCTCGGCAAACCGCGGCTCGCGAGCCACATTCGGCTCTTTGGCCCCTTCAGTGTGGCTCTTCCACAAAATACCGGCTCTTCCACAAAATACCGACTTCTGCACATGGGCCACGAGTTTCCATCGCCCTGTACGTGCGTGCCGGCACATGGTATTTTGTGGAAGAGCCACACTCAAGGGGCCAAAGAGCCGCATGTGGCTCGCGAGCCGTGGTTTGCCAACCACGGTTCTAGAGCACTCTAGAGCTGAGTTACAGCAAAGGAATTCGAACTCTCTTCTACATCAGACTCCTCTGTAAAAATGGGTTAACAACATATGCGAAATACATAACACAGAGTAGAGGTCAACAAACACTGATTCATAAGTTTTAAAGTCTCAGTCCTCGTGTCGCTAAGAAGCCTGAACTGCTGCTATATATGTACAGCCTCACACAAAAACTGCAGAGTAAGAGTATGAACAGGTTTACCAGAGGACAGGAGAGGGAGCAGAAAGGTAATTCTAGAGTTGAAAAGTATGGAATGTAAGAATCAGATGTAGATTCCAGCCCTGGTTCCGACACATACTAATTAGAGGACCATCGGAAGCCACAGTGACTTCCCCAAGCTGCTGAGAGAATCAAGGAAAGTTTACGGGAACTCTGTTTCCTTGAAGCATTATGCACGTACTTTATACCCAAGTAACCCTATCCATTCACTATTAATAATTGGTGTTGGTGGGTTTCGTGGATTTCTCCCTCAACTCTAAGAACTAGCAAGAAGCTTTGAGCTATTCCCAAAAAGGAAGATTTCATACACTGGGAAATAATTCTTTCCAAATTTTCTTTCATCAATTAATCAGCCAACAACACAGAAAACACTATGTTCTTCACTTGTTACCCTTTACTCACTGCCATGTATTCTACTCAATCAGACAGTTGTCAGGGGCTGCTGTGCTGCCGTTCGGGGAGGGGAGTTACGCTGCTGATGCCCACTCTTTCACCATAGAGAGTAGCCTGGGACCATTGGTCCAAGAAAAGGGCACCCTCCTAGGGCTCCCTACTTCCTGAGCCACCTTAACTCCTCCAAACGAACCCATGGGCTAAAGAATTACCAACTACTATGGTGCTCAAAAAACAAAACAAGCCAAAACCGGTTTTGGCTCAGTGGATAGAGCGTTGGCCTGCAGACTGAAAGGTCCCAGGTTCGATTCCAGTCAAGGGCATGTGCCTGGGTTATGGGCACATCCCCAGTGGGAGATGTGCAGGAGGCAGCTGATCGATGTTTCTCTCTCATCGATGTTTCTAACTCTCTATCTCTCTCCCTTCCTCTCTGTAAAAACTCAATAAAGTATATAAAAAAAAAACTGAATGAATTTTAGTCCTAGCTTTGCCAGCAGCTTGCTATGGAATTTTTATTTTCCTTTATCTAACCTCCCAAGATTTTTTAAGAGTCAAGTGAAATAACATATGGAAAGCTCTTTGCAACTTAAATCACTACAGAATATAAAGTATTGTGTCAGGGTATTTTGGAGTTAAAGGAATTTTTGACTCTCAATTACTGATAGCTTATCTAAAATGTTAAACTTCCAAGTCAGAATGACAGCTTCTAGACTGCTCTGTCCAATCAACCTTTGTGTGTTCTACACCTGTAATGTTCTATACAGCAGCTACTCGCTACTGATACTTAAAAATTCAACTGGGGCCCTGGCAGGTGTGGCTCAGTTGGTTGGGCGTCATCCCAAGTATCCAAAAGTCACTGGGTTCCATACCCAGTCAAGGCACATGCTGGGGCCCTGACTGGTTTGGCTCAGTGGATAGAGCGTCGGCCTGCGGACTGAAGGGTCCCAGGTTCGATTCCGGTCAGGGGCATGTTACCTGGGTTGCGGGCACATCCCCGGTGGGAGGTGTGCAGGAGGCAGCTGATCGATGTTTCTAACTCTCTATCTCTCTCCCTTCCTCTCTGTAAAAAATCAATAAAATATATATATATTTTTTTTAAAAGGCACATGCTGGGGTTTCAGGCTCGATCCCCAGTAGGCAGCCCTTTGATGTTTCTCTCTCCCTCTCCCTTCCTCTCTCTCTAAAATCAATTCTTAAAAGAAAAACATTTTTTTTTAAAAAGTTCAACTGGGAAACTGATTAATTTTATTTAACTTTATTTTAAACAGCCACATGTGGTTAGTGCTGATCAACTCTCAGATAATATTAGCTGTAGCTCCAAAGTCTGTGATAGGAAGCACAAGGCCACAACAGAAAAGCAGGACTGTGAGGGAACAGAATAAACGTGTGCCCCTTTAAGACAACTTCATAATCCAAACATTCAGTTTGGGGGAGATCATTCCTATTTACAAAAACATTTATGTCCCTGTAAATACTAATTACACAAGCATGTTCCATACATGTCCCAATTTATATAATTTTTCAAGAAAGTGTCCACTGTAGAAAACAAGGCATGTGCTGGGAGGGGAGGTCAAAAGCAGGGACGTGTAGGGAATATGGGGACAAATGAATCCGGCTCGCCTTCTCCGTTACTCCCCTCACAGTTCATGCAGCACATTTACCGAGCACCCGCTATAGAATAAGATTAAGGAGAAAAGGCGAATAAGTCCTACACCCTCTTCTCAGGTACCTCCTCAAGAAGAGAAAAGGCAGAAGACAAATCCAACAGTTCCTCCCTCCCTCCCTCCGGGTCTAGCTGCCTGCTACCTGCCAGCAGGGGATCAGAGAGCATTCTGCATCCTGCAGGGTCCCATCACGGTCCTGTACGCTGAAATGAGCACCTCTTAGCTCTAAGGAGATCGTGCCTTTGAAAAGCAAATATGCCTGAGAATACAAAGCACCAATACATTCTGGGGAAATTTTTTCACATCTCTTTCGACATTTACTACAAAACAACACTCCAGCTGCCCTGCCTGTGGAGTAGCCATACTCTATCTCACCGCTTCACTAATGAACTTTTTTTCACTTTAAACTCAAAACAAAACGAAAACATAAAACACTGCAGGCCTGAGCTGCTGCCAGGAGGCGACCTGTTTTTCCTGCATTCTCTCAAGTATTCCCCCAAGTAACCCTGTGCGACCTGCACCATGCTC